GAGAATTTCATCGGGGCTTTTTTTGAATCAGATTCTCGTTGATTGCATTAATCAAGCGCGTTAATTGACGTGTGCTTCTCCGATCGAAGTGTACCTGCTACGCGTATATTAGAATCGCAAGTTAGTATTCGGAATGTCATGATGAAACAATTGGGATCAGAATGCTGGAACGATAAACCAGAACGGAGGTGTAGAATGCTAAGATGCAAGTAGTAATACCATTATACATCGTGCTATTATACATATTATACTATTATACATATTATATACAACGTGTATATCCAAATGCGCGATGACAACAAATAATAAATATATGTTTCATATGTTTACATTTTCGGCAATAAAATATAAAGGATAAAATGTCCAAAAATAAATTTAAATGTAAATACTAAAATATTTTTTAAACAGTATTTATCACAAGCAGAGGAGAAATCATTAAGAATTTTCAAACATTATATTTTATATTTGCTAAATTATATTAAAAGATATTAAAAGATAGTAGACAATATTACTATATGCGAATAAACAATTACAAAATTTACTCTTTGATCTGAGACAACTAAAAGAACGAAGAAAAGAATATTTAAGTGGTAAATATAAAAACTAAGATATTTTTTCGATCAATATTTATCAAAAACAGAGAGGAAATCATTAAAAATCGTCAAGCAATTATATTTTATTTTTTCCTCAATTTTAAAAGATAATAGGTGGTTTGGCTATATACAAATAAACACTTGAAAAATTTACTCTTTGATTTCTACCTAAAAAAAAAACGAGGAAAAAAGTGTTGGAATAATCAATATAAATATCAAGATATTTTTTCAAACAATATTTATCAAAAAACAGAAAGGAGGTCATTAAAAATTTCCAAATAATTATATTTTATTTGTTTTTCAATATTAAAAGATATTAAGGAATATTATTATAAATAAATAAATAGTTAAAAATTTCTTTGATTTGAGACACCTGAGAAAACGAAAAAAAGTGTTTGAATAATAAATATAAATATTAAAATATTTTGTCAAACATAGTATTTATCAAAAACAGAGAGAAAGTCATTGAGAATCATCAAGCAATTATATTTTACTTTCTCCTCAATTTAAAAAAATAATGACTGATAATGCTACAAATAAACAATTGAAAAATCTGCTCTTTGATTTGAAATATATAAAAAAACAAGGAAAAGAAGCGTGAGCAGTATTGATTAAAAGTCGCTGAGTAGTCAGTTTGTCTCTTCCTCAATTAAAACGTAATGATTCATATTGATAGATTATGTGTGTTGCTACTTTTATATCCTGGTTTTATTAATATGATTCATACTAGCCATATGCTGAAATATCCAAGCGAAAGATTGAGGAAGAGCTTGATACCGGAACTCAAAAAACTTGACGGGTTATATAATCCAGATTAACCCGAGTATAGCTGCTCGTTTTTCGCCGTCGTTTGCAATATGCTTACGAGAAAGTAGATTTTCAAGTCGCTCCATCACGCAGACCGTCACAATGGCTCGCGGGACCTTAAAAAAAGATGTGCCACTGAAATCTCTGCACGGTCGTTAAGCTGTTAATGCTGTTTTAAGCGCGTTTTTATAGCATAAACAACCTACTTCGCCGCACGTGATCCGCCGTATGTATTCGTGGGCGCGCTGCATAAATGCATAGAGATGAGCTAATATTTCGGTTACACCAGCCGTAAACCAACAATCCGTATCGATCATTGTGAACTTTCCTCCCAACAGATAGACAGAACTGACAACGACGCGAATATCGCGTCAACTTCTTTACACATCACATGTTTGTCAGTTCGTCAGATTTCCGCATACGAATTCGCTTTGGTTTTCATTCAATCTTACAAAGAGGACACGCAACATCGAAAGATTATCTGCGACTGATTCGCATTCATAAACATCACGCAAAACGATACGCTGTGTAAGTGCTCTCTGCGACTGATGCGATCGCAAAATTGTCCAGCCGCGATTGTTTTCATCAACAAAGCGCGACGACTACGATCTGCGTTAGTATTATAGAAATCAGTACAACTCACCGTCAGCAAATCGGACTCTCAGGGAGGATTCACACTTAGGACTCGTTCACATCTGGGAAGAAAAAACAGAAAACAGGAAGGCACCAGCCAAGAGAGTGACAGAGAGAAAAACTTTCGCAAGAGAGAGACAGACTATCAGTGCCATTTGTGATTGGCTGCTGACTTTCTGCTTTCTGATTTTCTGCCCAAGTGTGAATTCTCCTTCAGGGAGCAGCCAATCAGAAGTGGTGCTGGTAGTCTGTCTCTCTCTTGAGAAAGAGGCAGAAGAGAAGGACAGACTATCAGCGTGAATTCTGATTGGTTACTGCCTTTCTGCTTTCTGCTTTTTTGCCTAAGTATGAATTTTCCCTGAGGGAGAATTCATATCTGTGCAGAAAAGCAGAAAACAAAAAGGCAGCAGCCAATCAGAACTCGCGCTGATAGTCTGTCTCTCTCGTGAGAGAGAGAGAGAGAGAGAGAGAGAGAGAGAGAGAGAGAGAGAGAGAGAGAGAGAGAGAGAGAGAGAGAAAGACAGAAAAGAAGGACAGACTACCAGCGCTACTTGTAATTGGCTGTTGCCTTTCTGCTTTCTGCTTTTCTGCCTAGGTGTAAGGGCACATTCACAGATATGTCTGTCTCTCTTTTACGAGAGTTTTTCTCTCTGTTACTCTCTTGGCTTCTGCTGTTCTGCTTTCTACTTTTTTGCCCAAGTGTGAATGCGCCCTAAGGGAGGATTCACACCTAGGCAGAAAAGCAGAAAGCAGAAAAGCAGTTGCAATCACAAGTGGCGCTGATAATCTGTCTCTCTCTCTCTTGCGAGAGTTTTTCTTTCTGTCATTCTCTTGGCTGCTGCCTTCCTGCTTTCTGTTTTTCTGCCCAGGTGTGAATGCGTCCTCACACTCATCGACGGCGCAATCGTTGTGCACTTTTCAGCAGATTCGTTCGGTCAAGAGTCCACGCATTAGTCGACTGTCCAATATGGCGTCGTAGTGACCACCAAAAGTCACGAGAACTCGGTGAGCGAAACATGCACGGCGGTAGTTACGTCGTGATAGTTGCGCCACGGTGATTACATTTTATTACATTGGCGCAGGCCGGGCGGATGTCAGTAATGAAGGAAATTGGCAATATATTTCTTGTAAAACTGGCGAAATGAGCGCTCGGTGATAATGGACGATACTTTCGAGCAATGGCGTGTCCTCCTTTATATCGACGAGCGAGCGAGCAAATCGATTCCGTAAGCGCGATCGATCGGCCTTATCGGGCCTATTCGCGGTACTCTCTGCGCTTCTTCGCGACGTTTGCTTTCGCGAGGAAGAAGTGTATTTGCGGTGCTCCAGGCAAACACCCCCCCCCCGCGTCACGATAATCTCCGGGCCGGCGGAGTTAACGGCGTTATTACGAGGCACGGTGTAGAGGTGCGCGCACACGGTGTGTGCCGTCTCTATCTCCGATATAAATCTTTACGATCGCGCCGGCGCAACTATCGCGGCCCTTCGAACTTGCCCAAGTGTGGCCCGAGTCTTTTGGGAAGGGGCAGGGGATTAAAGACGGACAGTAGCGAGACCTGACGCGAAATTATCGAACAGCGAGGAGAGCCCTGGACTCCGTGCTGCTCGACGCGGGAGCGGCACTCTGGCGAACGGCAGGATGTTATCTTCATCGTGCGCCGAGGCCATAGTTCGTGACGTTGATGTTCAGTCACTCCGCGATAGAGCTAGGATGGCCATCTTTTGATCGACCCATTTTGGGATATCGACTGTGAAAGATCGGAACACGACGAAAAGAGTCGGAACATTCTCATTGGTACTACAAGTATATTGTATACATTGTAATAATATTAATGTATGTCCCCTCTTGCTCATACTTCGCTTTTCAGACGCATAATGTTGTGAAATTTGAGTAAACATTTTATTCGTCTGCTTACGGTATCTGATTCTCAACTTGCTTGTTTTAAAAATTAATAAGTCGAAATAAATAAATATACAGGGAGTCCGGGATCTTTTGGATATAATAAATTGTAAAGATTAATCAGACGAAACTGAGAAGAAAAGTCATATACTATTTTACAAATAGCTACTTAAATTTCCAAGTTATCAATTAAAAAATCTTCTAGATATAGTCATTTTCAATTACTAATAACTTAATAACTATTGCCACATTTACAAAATGGTACTTGACTTTTCTTCTCAGTTTGATTCGATTACTCTTCACAGTTTTTCGTTTCCAAAAGATCTCGGACAACCTGTATACACAGGGTTTCAAATGCCCCAGACAAATATCTCGAAAAATACGGAAGATACGGAAAAATATTTCAAACAAAAGTTGTATGATTTCAAGGGGGGCATAAAACAGATATATCAGTTTATTTACAGATGGCACTATTTTCGAGATATTCACTGATCATTACTCTTAAATGGAAACCTCAATTTCTTATTACACTATCTTTTTTTACCAATGAATTTGAACAACTTTTGTCTGAAACATTTTTTTATTTACTTAATATTTTTTGAGATATTTATGGAAAACTTGATAACTTTTTCAATATATTTAACTTATGATATCTTGCTAACTATTTGTCGGAAGAAAAAGTGGTACTAGACTTTCTTGCTTTATTTAATCTCAAAAATATATTGTTACAATAGTGCCCTGATTTTTGTTAATTTAATGATTTTGAAGTTTCCAAAAGTCATTAAGTTAACAAAAGTCTGGGCACTATTGTAACAATATATTCTTGAGACTAAATAAAGCAAAAAAGTCTAGTACCACTATTTCTCCCGACAAATAGTTAGCGAGAGAAACAGTGTAATAAAAAATAGGGGTTCCCATTTAAAAGACGCAAGTTGACCTTCAAATGAATCTTGGAAACAGATGTCAAGGTCAAAGTCAAGGTCATCATAAGGTAACTCACTTAAATCCCTACAACTTTTATTCAGATCATTTTCCTTGAAACTTCAATACTGAAGAGTTATTAGGATGGTCCGTTACTTTTGGGACTATCTGTATAATAATAAACAATTTCAGTAACTGTTACAGTTGCATGAAAAATCGGGGAAAATGGCATCCGACCAAGGATCCTTACTTGGGATGCTTCTGTAGAAGCTCCAAAATCGGGATGTCCCGCGAAATTCCAGACGGTTGGCTACTCTGGATAGAGCTGTGGCGAAATTCCATAGTCGACAAACACGTCGTTGTCGAGGACATTGTGTCCTTTTGCGGGACACGGGGCGGCGGCTGCGGTGTTTGCACCGGATCGGTATGGATCGTTAGATCGAGAAGGCCACCGAGACTCGTTATTTGTCTAGCCCGGGCGCTGTCGGCCGTTTGTTACGGCGGAGATTAATGCGACGGTCCTGAAAAGTGCATAAGTAGCTAATCGTCGGCGATGAATACTCGGAGTGCGCTCGCGCGCGCGAAGACACGCGCTTTATCCTCGCTCGACTGTGGCCGCTAATGAGGCGAACGATTACACCGCCCGCTTGTGTTTGCCGGCTTCTTGTTTGCCGGTGCCGCGGAGAAGAAATCTCACGACGGCCGCTGCCGCTGCTCCTTGTGAAAACGAAAAGCCCCGTTTATCTCGGAGATACGCGCGCACGCCCGCGACGCCGGATAGTCGGACATTCTCGGCGTCTCGGCATGCGGAATGTACAATTACAAGAATAACAGCCCGGTTATTTGTCTCTCGCGCGTCCGGATCCTTAAAATAGGATGATTACAAATACCGCTCATTTCGACCGGCAGGGCGCGGCAAGACGCGCCGGGGACGGCGAGACGAGGGGGACGTGAGGCGAGGTGGGACAAGAAGCGGGAGAGGAAGAACAGGAGAGGCAGGAAGTACGGCGACCAAGGAAACGAGGGAAATGGAGTAGGTTTTTCTTGCGTAATTAGCCGCTCCGCGCGTAAGGGGAACCCTCGGATAAGCGACGGAGAGATACGACGGCGGAGGGACGAGACGATTCTTTCGGGATAGGCAGAGAAAATAATTAACCTTACCGTTTTTCGTTCTGAGAGAAGCAGCCGGATCTCGCGCGATTCCCGCGCCGGCTTTTAAACGCCGTAATAAAAGAAACGGAACCCCGTCGCGTCCTTTGCGCGGAACGAGAGACGAGGCTTCTCTCTCTCTCTCTCTCTCTCTCTCTCTCTCTCTCTCCCTCTCTCTCTCTCTCTCTTCCTTTCTTTCTCTATCCTCTCATTTTCTCGCTCTCCTCCTGCCACCCTCCCTCCCTCCCTCTCTCTCTCACTTTCCTCGTTTTTTTAAAAGTAGAGCGTACGAAGAGCACCGGTGGAGCGCCCAAGCGGAATTTAATTCGACAAAACAGCCACGCATACCGACCCCAAGGAATCCGAGTCACCGGCGATTTCCAGCGAGTACATTTTTAAGGAGTAATATACGAGCGAGCGAGGAGGGAGAGATAAATGCGGACGAGGACCGTGAACATCCGCTGTTGCGCGGATTATTTCTTCTCTCAGCGACGTCTCCTGAGATCGGATTATACGCGAGCGGAGGAATCTAATGTAATGTACAAACTTGATTGTAAATTCACGTTAAATGTAACACACGAAGTCGTCGGAAGAACGAGAGGCCCGAGAGTCAAAGAGTCCCGAGGGGCGAATTTACAGGCGGACCTGAGCCTCTCGCAGTCAACGAGGAGAGATTCTAATTGATCCGAACGGCCGAAAGGTCCTGGAGGTCCTGGAGGTTTCTCTTCAAACACGCTTGCACTTCGCCACCGCGCGGCGAGTATCCGCCGAGTCGACAGTTTCATTCTAATTTGGACGTGAATATTTCATTTAACGCCGATTTCGTACTCTAAAGTCTGTACCGACCTCGTTTGATTGCATTTGGCCTACAGCATTGCCGAGAAGTCTAGTTAACACATTCCGGACGGATGTGACGAAATATCTCGCGTTTCTACATACCGCTTTTATGTTCCACCACAAATATCTCTTTCTCCACGCCTTTCACAGAAAAGCGTTTCGTACATAACTTTGTTTCATCTCAAGGAGATCTAAGATGGCGATATCAATTTGTGTGTAGATGGCGCCACTTTCGAGAAATTCACTAATGATCACTTTTCTTAAGTGGAAATCGATGATTATGGAAATCAGTGTTTCGCAAACATGTGGAGGGATGCTTTTAAGACAAATGTGAGATAAAGAAGCACCTCAAACGTGAGAATCGAGGGAAATCACTTTTAAAAAGCACTCCAACCTCACATGGATAGCAAAAATGCAATTATAATTATAATCTAAAACTTCAGGGGAATTAGGAAAGTGTTATATTTGACATTAGTTTAGTAGTCAACTGAAAACAAATTTTACAAGAAGAAGTTTGCACGAGTGTAGAAAACAACCTACTAAAATGCAGATCTAGAAAGATCTCACATCTGTTTTATTAGGTTGTTTGAAAAATTCGTTTAAAATTTTCTATTTAAATTCAGAGCACAATATTTTTACACAAAGAGAACTTTATTCGAGCAAATATGTACCGTTTTGTTCAACGACCTTGGCCTATCTTTTAGGAAATTGCATGATGCTTTTGCTCCGAAATGAAGGTTTCTTACTAGTGAGGAATTGATCAAGATGACTTTTGGAGACTTTCAAAGACTCGAACTTTTTATTTCGAAAAAAATTTGTCAAAGAAGGAAATAAATAGTAGTTAGATGGGGCAAGGTTGAAAAAATACAGAGGATAAGAAAGAATGTCCCATTCGAAGTCTAACAGCTTCCTACGGATAGACATTGCGACGTGAGGTCTGGCGTTATCATAGTGGAAGACAATTCCACACCTGTTGGCCAGTTCAGGGCACTTCTGTGCGATGGCAGCCTTCAGTTCATCCTGCTACTTCGCCGCGTTGATGGTTTCGTTCGGATGAAGAAATTCATAATACTTAAAATCCTACCAAATGCTCAGGAGAATCTTTTTCGGGCGAAGCCCTGGCTTGGACACTGTTTGTAGACGCGTCGCTGGTTCTCCACGATCTCTTACGGCTAACATTGTATAGGATCCAACTTTCATCGCCTCTTCAAAAACGGTTCCTTTTGATGCCGTGGAAGCAGTATATCGCAGATACGTACACGTTCCACCAGCTGCCGTTTATCCATTTCGTTAGCACCCAGACATCTAGGCGAGAACCCCAGCTTCTTGAGGTAGTCATACACAGTAAAGACAGACTTGTGCAGAGTATCGCCGAGTTTTCTAACGGTCACTTGAGAATTTTCACGCATCGAGTCTTCAAGAAGCGTTTCATCAACCTCCTCAAGCCGGCCAAAAGCTTAATCTCCCATGTTGAAATCGCCAGCTTCGAATCTCCGATACTACTTCCAAACTGTCTGGTAAGTGACGCACGCATCTTCATACGCAGAGAAAATTTCATTTAGAATCTGCGAAACCGTGAAGCCACGCTTGAAGCAATATAGCATCACATGGCGAAAGTAGACTTTCTGGTCTTTTATTTTCCAAACTGATTTCTGACGAAATGTTTGTATTGTACTTAGGAAGGTCTACGAAGTTTCTTTGGCGAGCTCATAGATCCGAGAAAGTTTGTTGACAAGCACAAAATCGTTTGGAGTGGCCTTGCTCTCACTGATTACATAGAAATACGGAGTGCATGAAATTTGAAATAGACTTTCCGAATAACCTAATATAAGCATCTCTCCTCATGTTTACGAAACATTAATTTAGACAAAACTAATTTCTAGAATTAAACAATTGTGTAACCCGTTGAAAAATCAAGAAAACCATAAACGAGTACGTACAGTTGGATTTGTCTTGACAAGAACTACAGTTCTTATTCAGAGAAAAAAATCGATTTCTCCATTTAAGAAAAGGGACTATTAGTGAATTTCTCGAAAGTGGCTCCATCTGCAACTAAATTCTGGTGCCTCCTTTTGAGGTTAACGTTTGTACGAAATATATTTTTGTAAAAGACGTAGGGAAAGAGATGAATAGTCATCCTGTGTATCAATCAAGAACGGTTATAACGCAGTAACAAACGGCAACAATTGCAAGTTTTTGGTAATTTGCAACGTGAATAAATTTTCTAAACCATTTAAATGTAAGTAGCAGTAGAGCAATGAACAATATTAAAAAAACACCTCCGAGCAATTTATTGGAAATATCAAATGACGATGAAAATATAGATATTTGTGGGGATAATTATGACTTTCCAGTTCACAAAGTAAGACTAAAGTTATAATAGCTGTAAGAAATAAAAAAGAATTTAAAACAAAGTGCAGGATTGTTGAAAACAAATATCTAACGTGACAACGATTTTTTATTATTAACAAAGCACAAGTAATTTAAATGTATTTGAAACCAAGAAGTAGCTGGCTGTGGTTAGCAATAAAATGTTTCGCCCGCAATGTGTTAAAATGATATTTTAACCACTAACAAACTGTAAGTAATTAAAAAATATTTGCAGCCACAAAACAGCTGGCTATGATTAGTAATACAATGTCTGGTCCGCAATGCGTTGAGAACCTGCGAGTGGCGACTCGTGCCATCGTTTTCTGCCATTTAGAGACGCTAAGTGGGACTTGATTTCCTGCAGAAACGAAATCTCCAGCGATCTTCCAGAATCCACGGATACTAAACGGTCCGGATGGAAAATGGGGCTGGAATTTCAACTCGGTCTGTCTAAGAACTAGTTGCGGGCAGCTTTGAAAAGCACAAAAATCAGAGCCACACCCTTCTCTTGTTCACACATCGCGCGGGCCGGTGCGTTGCGCCGTCAATAACGCTCGCGGAGTCGCGAAATGTCAAAAATTCATGAGGCAGGCGAACATAATGATACCGAGCCTCTATTTGGTCCCCGGCGAACTGCCGGTTTGAATTTGACTTTAAAATAATTTCTGGGGTAGCATTGCGGTCTCTTGGATAGACATACGGAGTGATATTTAATTCATGACTATTCACCAAACAGCGCATGCGGCAGTTGGGAAGTTTAGCGACCAGTTTCGAGTTTATATACGCGAGCGCGGGAGCGAAGCGGAATGAAGCGAGACGAAAGTCAAAGCGGAGCGTTTCGTGCGGAAGAACAATCTCAAAGAGAACTGCGTGTAATGTGCGACTTTGCCGCGGATTGCACAAAAGTGCCTGCAGCGACGCGCTATTGACAGGCGTAGACCCGGCGAGGCCGAGTCCGCTTCGATTTTGTTTTCATCCCATGTGCGGCCAAAGACGCAGCGGGAAAGAACCCCCGCTGTTAATTCGACCGACACACCGTGAAGAACCAAATAAAAGAAAAAAAATCTCACAAAAATAAAATCCACCCCTTATTTATTAGGTGTTTCGGTTAATTTCCGCTGTTCGCGTTTAGATAGCTCCAGCTGCAAATGTAGCGAACCGTGAC